ATACTCGACTGGTAGCTGATGTTATAAGAAAACTCTGTGACCGGCAAAAACTGATCTCATGTCCCTCCGAAATCAATGACACAAGCATGCAACTTGTCCTCCAATATCTAAATAGTGCGCTCAGACTGCCCGTCCATCTGAGGGTAAAAAGCTCTGCTCAACTCAACCTGAGTACCCAACTCTCGCTACATAGACCTCCAAAACTACAAAGTAAATTAAGTGCCCCTATCTGAAATAATGGAAACTGGGACACCATGCAAACGAACAATCTCTCGGATATAGATCTATGCCAACTGCTCTGAAGAATAGGTATTACACACAGGAATGAAGTGCGCAGACTTGGTCAGCCAATCCACAATCACCCAAATAGCATCGAACTTATTCAAAGTCCGTGGGAGGCCAACTACAATGTCCATGGTGATCCTCTCCCACTTCCACTCTGGAATATCCATCTGGTAAAGCAAGCCACCCAGTCTCTGATGCTCATATTTCACCTGCAAACAATTGAAACACCGAGCTACAAATCCCATAATGTCCTTCTTCATTCTCCTCCACCAATAATATTGTCTCAGATCCTGATACATCTTCGCGGCACCCGGATGAATGGAATACCGCAAACTATGGGCCTCCTCCAGAATCAACTCCTGAAGCCCATCTATATTAGGCACACATATCCGGCAATGCATCCTCAACACCCCATCATCACCAATAGACACATCCCTGGCATCATCGTGTTGAACTATGTCCTTAAGGAAAAGCAAATGAGGATCATCATATTGGCGCTCTCTAATGCGATCATATAAGGAAGACCAAGAAATCACACAAGCCAATACCCGACTGGGCTCCGAAATATCCAACCTCACAAACCGATTAGCCAAAGCCTGAACATCAACTGCAAGAGGTCTCTCCCCAACTGGAATATATGTCAAACTCCCCATACTCACCGCTTTCCGGCTCAAATCATCGACCACTATATTGGTATTCCTTGGATGGTACAAAATAGTAATATCATAATCCTTTAGCAACTCCAACCATCTCCGCTGCCTCAAATTGAGATCCTTCTACTTGAACAAGTGCTGGAGGCTATGATGATCAGTAAACACCTCACAAGACACACCATACAAATAATGCCTTCAAATCTTCAACACGTGAACAATGCCAGCCAACTCCAAATCATGAGCAGGGTAGTTCTTCTTATGGGGCTTCAACTGACGAGAAGCATAAGCAATAACTCTACCCTCCTGCATCAACATACACCCAATACCAACTCTCGAAGCATCACAATAAACGATATATGAACCTGAAGCTGATGGCAAAACTAACACTGGAGTTGTGGTCAAGGCAGTCTTGAGCTTCTGAAAGCTCTCATCATACTCATTCGACCACCTGAATAGAGCATTCTTTTGAGTCAACTTGGTCAAGGGTGATGCAATAGATTAGAATCCCGGAATGAACCGGCGGAAATTACCCGTGAAACAAAGAAAGCTATGAATCTCTGTGGCTGAGGACGGTCTGGGCCAATTCTGAACTGCCTCTATATTCTTCGGATCAACCTGAATCCCCTTAATGGACACCACATTCCCCAAGAAAGTCATTGAACTGAGCCAAAACTCACACTTGGAGAACTTTGCATAAAGATTCTCCTCCCTTAATCTCTGCAACACAACTCTCAAATGCTGTGCATGCTCCTCGTGACTACGCGAATACACCAGAATATTATCAATGAAAACTATGACAAATGAGTCGAGATAAGGCCGAAACACACTGTTCATCAAATGCATGAACACTGTTGGGGAATTAGGCAGCCCAAAAGACATCACCAAGAACTCATAATGACCATATCGGGTCCTGAAAGCCGTCTTAAGAATATCCGAGTCCCTGATCTTCAATTGGTGATAACCTGAACGGAGATCAATCTTGGAGAACACTCTCGCTCTCTGAAGCTAGTAGAATAAATCATCGATGCAAGGCAAAGAATACTTGTTCTTAACTGTTACTTTGTTCAAATGCCTATAATCAATGCACATCCTCATAGTGTCATCCTTCTTCTTCACAAATATAACTGGTGCACCCCAAGGAGACACACTAGGCCGAATGAACCCCTTATCAAGGAGTTCCTAGAGCTACTCCTTTAACTCCTTCAGCTCAATTGGTGCCATACGGTACGACAGAATAGAAATGGGTTGACTGCCCGACACTAGATCAATACAAAAATCAATATCCCTATTTGGTAGCATGCCCGACAGGTCTGCAGGAAACACATCAAGAAAATCCCTTACAACAGGTACAGAATCAAAACTAGGAGTCTCTGCACCGACATCCCTCACAAAAGCTAGATATGAAACGCAACCCTTCCCAACCATACGCTGGGCCTTCAAGAATGAAATCACCCTACTGGAAACATAATCAGTCGAACTTCACCACTTATTCCGTGGTACATCCGGCATAGCCAATGTCACTATCTTAGATAGCACGACGCAAGGATAGCCAATCCACACCCAATATAACATCGAAATCCACCATACATAATAACAAAAGATCCACTCGGGTCTCTAGACCCCTAATAGTCACCACACATGACCGGTACACATGGTCTACAATAACAGTATCGCCCACTGGAGTAGATACACGAACAGATGAAACAAGAGACTCACGGGGCATATCCATATCATAGGCAAAGTATGATGACACATAAGAATAAGTGGGATCGGGATCAAATAATACAAAGGCATCTGTGTGGCAGACTAAGACAGTACCTGTGATAACAACATTGGAAGCAATAACATCAGGTCTAGTTGGAAGTGCATAGAAACGGTCCTGACCGCCACCTGATCGACCTCCCCCTCTAGGGTGACCCCTAGCTGACTGACCTTCACCCCTAGCTGGGTGGGTGGGTGGTGGCGAAGTAACTAGCGCTGAAGCCGATGGCTGAGTCCTCTACTGAGATGAACCCGCAAGACGACGAGGACACTGCCTCCACATATGACCCATCTCTCCACACTCATAACAACTCTCGAGTACTGGAGACGGGGACTGAAGGGAACCCCTAGCACCAGAATGACTAGCAGATACACCTGGTATAGAAGAGCCCTGAACTGATGGAGCACGGGACGAACTCTGAGCTGGAAAGGCACTAAGTGATGACTGGCCCTGATGAGAACTGTAAGTACCATAACCCGATGACGCCCCACGATACCCTGGGCGAGCTGGCTAAGCATGCCTAAATGGAGTGCTGAAACTGACCTCTCGAAGACACCACCATAACTACTAGATCCTTCCTCTCATCTCGCTCCTAGCGACAAACTGACTCAATCTCACGAGCAATGTCTACAACCTCCTCAAAAGTAGTACCAAACACCCTCTCCCTGGTCATGAGAATACGAAGCTGATATGTAAGGCCATCAACAAACCTCCTAAACCTCTCTCTATCTGTCGGATCCAACCAAATAGCATGATGAACTAACTCTGAGAACCTCATCTCATACTGCGTCATAGTTATCTCTCCCTGACGCAACCACTCAAACTGCCTACGCAGCTCCTCTCTGCGAGACTGCATCACATACTTCTCCAAAAATAGAACGAAGAACTGTTGCTAGGTAAGGGGTGCTGCACCAACAGGCCTACGCCTCTCATAAGCCTCCCACCAAGTGAAGGTAGCTCTAAAAATCTGAAAAGAAGTGAAAGCGACCCCGCTGGTCTCTAGAATACCCGCTATACGAAGAATCCTCTGACATTTGTCCAAGAAACCCTGGGCATCCTCGCCCTCTACACCACTGAATTTCGGAGGGTGAAGTCTACCAAACCTCTCCAACCTACGCTGCTCGTCCTCGGGCATTGTAGGAGCTACATAGTCCTGAGAAGCTGCAACTGGCTGGTCTGGATATGCCCCCGGCGTCTGAAGTCCTTACACAACCTGCTCAGGTGTGCGGGCGGCGAGAGTCTGAGTGCCTCCCCCGGCCTGGGGAAGTAGCTGCGGCTGTAGTAACTAAGATCGCCTAAGCTAGGCCAGTGCATACTGATAGAATCTGAGCCAGGGCCTTCTGAAGACCCGGAATCACAATGGGCACAACTAGTGCCTGAGCTGGTGCTGCTGAAGCGTCCATAACTAGGACCTGATCCTGAACTGGGGCGACTGATGGATCTGCAGGTGCTTCCCTAGCTGCTGTGCAGGCCACACCCCTGCCCTACCGCGACCATGACCGCGTCCTCGGCCTCTAGTGGCCACAACTTGTGGTACCGGTGGTAGTCCATCCTGAACGTTAGTGCGTGTCCTCAATATCTGTGAGAGGATAGAATAACAGAAGTTTAGTACTCGGATCAACAGATTCGCACGACAAGAATTTCAAGAATATGAAGTTTTTCGAGGATAATTACAGACGTCTCCGTACCGATCCGCAAGACTCTACTAAACTTGCTCATGACTCGTGAGATCTATGTAACCTACGCTCTGATACTAACTTGTCATGACCCTAAACCCAGACCTGGTCGTGATAGCGCCTCTCGTGAATACAAGGCCAGCCAACACAACACCCAATTCATTTTTAAGCAATTAAAATAACACAATTTAAGTCATTAACACGATTAAATCCCAAAGAAACAGTGAAACAATCACTACTAGAAACTGGAGCTATGGCAACACTTTTTATTGCCACGGTTCTGTAACCGTTGCTATAGATGGTCGGTTGCAACGGTTTCAACCGTTGCGTAAGGTAATTGGTACTACCGGCACAGTTTAGCCCCTAAACCGTTGCAATAGTCTAAAAAGCATTATAGTAGATTTTCTATGAAAACGATTTTGGACAACCGTATCAATAAGCTTATCTATGGTAACGGGTATTTGCAATTTCAATGTACGGCAACGGTTACTAATTCCCTCTACAATTTCCCTCCAATTTTGGACGTCCCGCTAAATTTATAGACCCCGCTTCTATATTAAATATAAAATATATTTAATAAAATAATAAAACCTAATAATATACCTATACACACGGAGATTACGAGAATAAATACCATCTCTTCCAAAAAGTTTCGACCTCTCTCTCCCAAAAACCTTCGCCGGAGATTACGATGAAGGAAAACCACCATCGACGGCACCGGTAAGTTGCATTTTTCATTACGATTCCAACCTGTATTCTACCATTCTTGTTTATTTTCTTTAAAACCTCAGTCATCCCTTTTGTTTAACCGCATCCCTGTACCTCCCATTACGCGCGAACGCAGTAATTAAAGAAGTATATGCATAAACATCGATACCAAAACCATCTTTATGCAAATTATGAAGCAATGATGATGCCACTGAAATCCTACCCTCTTTCCCAAGCATGCTTATAACCATAGCAATAACAGACCCATTTAACAAAACCCCAGAATCAGATCGATTTCGAACCCATTCAAACAGTTGTGTGCTCAATTTGTTTTAACTATTTTTTGTTGATTTAATTGATGGTTATTCTGGTTTTTTGGGCTTTCCTTGCACTCCATTGCTTTTTCGTTTTATTATTACTTCTTATGCTATTTCTGCAATATGTAGCGTGGTGGATTATTTTTTCAATTGATTTTCTGTGTTTCTGAGAGCTTCCTCAACAATCTTCCCTTTTCCCATTCTTTGTTCCTTGATTTTCAGGAAAAGAAAAACCTTTTACGATTGCCTACTGATGCTGTCGAGATTTTGATCAGTCAAGATTGGAGAGGTAGGTTGTATATCCATTTTAGCCTATCATATTTTCCTTTAGGTGTAGTTCAGAAGGAGGAAAGTGTTATTCATATGAAATATTTTATAATGGAAAACATGTGTGGTAATTGTACAAGGGAGAAGGATAGGGTATAGGAGATATTTTTAGGTATTAAAACTTGAAAATACTCTCTAACTGTTGATTGAACCAAGTATTAGTTAGCATTTTGTAAAGGAAAATGTCTCTGTGCATAAATGACTTTCTTAAAGAAAAGAAATTCCAAACACTAGAACATGATTTTATTACCAAAATATTTCTCTATACAAAATAATTTTGTGAAGACTGATGAGATACAAGGTCTAAGCTAGTCTCCTAGACTTATTAAGTTGTTTGCTTTCAGTCCTTTTGGCATAATGGAGATAAAAAAATGTGAAAAGAGGAAAAGAAAAAATTGTACACCTTTTTATGGATCACAGTTTTATTGTACTAATAATCTTATTATAGCTCTTTTGAAACTGTTAAACTAAACTAGTAACCACAATTAATGAGAGAATGCAGTAAAAACTAGTTGCATCTGACGGTTCGTTAGTGATTTGTGTACCACATTCGAGTACGTTTATGCAAAAGAACAGAAACAAAGAGCACTTGCAGTACTATTTTGCATTTCATTTAGATAGGCTAAATATTTGATTCTTTGTGGGGTTCATGTTTTCCTTATCAGTTGCAATAATATTCAGAGGCAGAACTACTTGTGTTGAAAGGGCGGAGCAGGTATGTATAATTCCTCCATATCTATCTTTAGTTTTTCAAAATAAAGACATTCTCGCGAAAGATAGTTTGCTTAAAACAGGTTCGATTTTTTCTAGTGTGAAAGCTGATGAAAATATCAAGAATGAATGAAATTTTCTACTAATTGACTTTTGAAGTTATAGAATCTTAATGCTAGTACTCTTTTTTTTTTTACTCTTAAGCTATGCCATGGCTAGAAATATTAGACTAATATTTTTCCTGGTACTTGTTATTTTGCTATCAAGAATAGTTTTTTCTTATCAAGAATTTGTTTAGAATGGTTGTAGTGGTGTTGCAGCTAGTTATTTAAGTGTAAATGGTGTTGTTGAGATTGAAAAAACTGGTGCTCTAAGGCTAACAAATGAAACATAAAGAACAGTTGGTCATGCCTTTTATAAAAGTTCAATCAAATGAGGCTGCACAAGATGGGAAGTTTTTAAGGGTGTTGCCTCTTTACTGATATCTCGGTTTTTAAGGGTAATATTTTCTCTCTTTTTAATAACGGTCTTCATATCACTAAGATAAACCATACTTGATTGAGAAACCTTTAGCTTCTTCTTAAGTATATCATGTCAAAGAGACAAGAACATTCTAATAACTGAATAGGTGACATGCCAAACCATCCTGCTACCTCTTCATTTCAATCTTGTTTTGTGCAGATTGGTATCCTATTTTTTAATATACGGATAAGTATCCTGTTTGACAGCTCTCTTTCCTATTTTCCTCTTTGTATATTTGAATCTTTGGTTGTTTTCCATGAAAGCTGAAGTGTTCTACATTAAATAAGTATTTACAATTCCAATCTACTAAAATTCTCTAAAAGACTAGTTGTATCTGGTAGTAAGTGTAATGTATCAACCTCCTGTTTTGTTGAGTTGCTACCACCAGTGCAAGGGTGGTGGAGTCTGCAACATTTGCACAAGCAAATATCATAAGTTGTACATTATTTCCTGCTGCGAGCGCGGAAATGAACTCTACTCCGTTTGGTTCTGTAGCTTTCTTTCCCTGAATTGGATCAACATAACATTAGTAACAACTTGAGGAGAAAAAAAATATTTGAATTGTATATCAAATTTCAGATATGATAAGTTCATAATTGTAATTACCATGTCCATGGTTTTGAGAAAAGCTTTAGTGGCATTTTCAGCAGACCAATAACTCATTTTCTGTTTCTTTGTAATTTTCTGAAATCTACATTCTGCTTGGGTTAGTTTGGTAAGACATCTACATTCTTGCTGATAGTTTCCTGTTTCTTCCTGCTTAAAAACCTAATATTGTCCTGTTTCTTCCTATTTAACAACCCATTTTCTGTTTCTTGCAACTTAACAGTAGAACTGCAACAACTAAAAGTTGAAATCTAGGTTGTTTCTGATCAATTTCTTGCAGCAATATTGGCAGCAAATCTGCATCGGTGAGCTCTCAAGTTAGCTATTTTTTGGTTTAAGTGTTCCTATGTTATTTGCTAACCTATATTGTGTTTGCTTTTCAAAATCTGAAAAATATTTGTATAGACATAAATCAAGAAGGGTGCTCAAGCAAAAATAAGAAAATATCTAACCGTATTCCAGCTTGATCACTTGCATCTTTGTGAAATCAAAAGGTTTCGTCGTTGACAACAAAAAGAACCTTCCAAGCTACAAGGTCAAATGAAAATGAAGCACGACAGTCAGAAGGTGGATTACCTTCATCTTTGCGAAACCAAAAGGTTATATATCTTCTTCTATTTCTTCCTCTCCTCCTTCTTTGCTTGGGATTTTGCTTTGGTTCAAGGTAGAGTGGATATGGTAATATCTTTTTTTCTTCCTATTGATGTGCCTATTTCGGTATTATTGGTATCCAACTTCTATGTGACCGACTGAGAGTCAATGGTTGAGGCTGTAGTTGTGGTTGGGACTTGGTACTTATATGTCAAACTTGGTTGTCTTGTTTGGGGTTCCTGCTTTTCCGGGCATTCTACATTGCTAAGAAGTATCTCTAAGGCTCATTCTTGTAGCAATTTTGGATTAGTGTTGCATTATATGTTTAGAATTGTATAGTGATATAGATATGTGTCAAAGTTTGCTGAGGACTTCACTGATTTGGTTAGAATGCTTTTAATTGTATAAAAGTGTTTAGTGAGTTATACAATGTACTAATTAAAATGTAAAAAATATAAATAATGGTAAATCTGCAATTTTCACACTAATGTGAACCATTTAAGGTTCTCCTTAAAGTCATGACTGTTATTCTCTTATTGGATAGGAAGCTAGATGCAACAATCCTCCATCGACACAAGGTTGTGAATAGAGAAAAACAACTTACAGTTTCTCCATCTGTAACTGTAACTGCCCCACTAGCCTGCCTCCCTATAAGACCTGTCTCAACCGTTATCTGTAAAAATGCAATAAACTGATTCAAAAGATATATAGCTCAATAGCTCAGGAAGCTTAATGTATTAGTTTCAAGTTGGATCGATCAAGAAAATAGAAAACTCAATAGATTAATATGGAAAATAGATGAATTAAGATTTAAGAACATAGACAACATAATAGCTCAAGTTAATTATAGAAAATATTGTATATGTTTCCCCATTCCAACATTTTGTTAACTTAGATTATGGAAACTAAAATGATATCTGAAAGGTATATTTATCCTACTCTAGTAAGGTTAAACCCCTCATTACAATATTTAGTAATGCTAGGTTTAATAGAGACTATCCATTTATTTTACCACTTGGTCAATTGCCCACCAAGTCAACCTACAAATGGAACAGAAGAAACATTACTTATTATTGTCATATTTAGCTTCAGAAGAACCAAACTAGGAAGTAAAATTTAACTATCTTCCTCCAGGGCCAAACGAATTAAAAAACAAGTAAAATAATGCACATGGAAAATAGTAGTGACGCATTTAGAGAAGATGCAAAATGGTCAAGTTCTGGATAGATGCAAAATGCTTCAGCTGTTGATTCAATCTCTGCCTTGGTGAAGTCTAGGATTTGGTGGATATAAAGTATCCATAACTAACAAACACAAGGCCTGCCCAACAAGTGTCATAAATTTTTGCAGAACCATCCAATTTTAATGTTAATCCACTAATCTTCCTTCCTTTTATCCCTCGTATTCTCCTGTAGTTTTGAATATCATTTTGATGACATTTTCATGTGCATCCCAGTATTTTGTCTCGGTTGCCCTGCAATATTGGGTCAAATCTCATTTTCATTGGGGAGTTGTTCCTTTCTCTAGCATCTGTTATGGGACACTCATCCTTTTGCTAATCTTTTCTCCATCTATTCATACTAAACCAACAATACTAGGATCATCTCATTCAACAAACAAACATATGGCTGGTACTGTATATTTGAGAACTAATAAATTTGAGGTTAAGCTAGAAGGCATTACCTTTAAAGCCAAAAACTTTGAATCTTTATGCACAGTTGATTTTCTTTTTCCAGAAGGTAAGATTTGGGTTCGTCCGCCTGTTGTTGGCCTTGATGTCATGCGCCACCCTCGTGATCCCTCCATAATTTTGGTTCTATTTAATTTGTAAGTTGCTTCTTCTATTGTCTAACTATTAATAACTTTATTTATCCACTTTTGTAGGTGGAGAAGATCAGGATGATGAAGAAGAGCTAGACCTTACTTGAGATAGAATTTTGAATTGTTATAGATGAATGTTTTAGGAATCTTTTGTTATCAACGTTTTTGGAACTTACTTTCTTGAAATGTACTAAACTTATGCGCTTGGGGTAGAACATTTTCTCTATGGATATTATTTGCTTGATGGATAATNTTGTAACAGGTGCTATATTTTGATTTTAACTGAATTGATACAATAGCCTACCAGAACCGTTGTAATAGGACACAAATGACGTTCTAGTAGACAATGTAAACCGTTGCAATAGGTCCTATAAAATGTTCCAAATTGATTTATAAACCGTTGCAAATACAAATATAACCGTTGCGGTAGCTTAGAGAAACCGTTGCAAATACAAATATAACCGTTGCGGTAGCTTAGAGAAACCGTTGCTATATCTATACATAACCGTAACAATAGCTTACATAAGTATTGCTTTAAATAATATGGTAACGGTTAAGAACCGTTGTATAAACAATATAGTAACGGTCTTAAACCGTTCCAATTGAAAAAAATAAATGTTCTAACAGAGAAGGGAAAAGCCGTTGTGATAGACTGATCTATAGGTACAACGATGCAAACCATTGCAAGAACCGTTCCAATAGACCTATAGGCACAGGGGCTGATGTAACGGGTTGTAAACCATTCCAATATACCTATGGTAACAGTTTTATAGTCTGTGGGAACGGTTTTCTAACCGTTACAGTAGACTAATTTTTCAGTAGTGAGTACAATTTGCGGCATAAACACAGCCCGACATCGGGATGTCACCAGTCATGAGCATCTATCATAAGTCTACAAGTCTGATAGAGTTTATACAGTATATTACAAAACCTGGAACATAAAGTAAGATAGGAGGGAGAAACACTGGGTTGCGAACTCCGAGTAGCTACCTAGTGGACTCCGAATGGCCTGCTGGGAGCAATCAACCCTCACTAGTGGGACCTGAAACTCCTGAATCTGCACACAGGGTGCAAGGAGTAAAGTGAGTACTCCAACTCAGTGAGTAATAACAATAAATGAAGACTGAGCGATAAGAAATCATGTAAAAACACAACAACATGCTATATAGAGGCAGTGTAAAACCAATAAAATGCAATAAAATAGTGAAATCTTATAAAACACCTTGGTTCAGAATAAGCTTCTTTAAAACACCTTTTCAATAGTTAACACAAGTAAATGAAAAGCAGCTAGAAAAGATAAATACATAAAACCCGCCCCTCGGGCACAATGTCAACAAAATCATCCCCTCGGGCAATAACATAGAACAACACCAGCCCCTCGGGCTATATCTCATATCACAATAGGTACCCGCACTCACTAGGGTGTATAGACTCCTGAAGGGGCCCCTTACGGCCCAAGTGCAATATCAAGCTATCTCGTGGCATGATCAAATAGGCTCTTAGCCCCATATCAAGCCACATTGTGGCGTACAACTCAGGCCCTCGGCCTCATAATCATAATCAGTACAACACTGCTGCGGCGTGCAGCCCGTTCCCATATTAACCTCACAACACAGGCCCTTGACCCTACTCAGTCAGAAATCTCTAAAAATCCACATGTGCACAGTAAAATATGATGCTCAACCCAAAATATCATTTAAAGTATTTAAAACAGAGTAAATGTGGCTAAGTTATAAAAACAGTAGAATATAGCATGAATGAGTACATATATAAAAATCAAAACAGTGAGGAAATAGCAGTAAAAATCCCCTAAGGGTCCAAATAGTTGGCACGAGGCCCAAATATGTCATTCAGCCCAAAACATGATGATAGCAAACAGTTTTCAATCAAATACACAGTAAAATAGTCATTCGGGGTGGACCAAGTCACAATCTCCAATGGTGCGCGACCCCACGCTCGTCATCTAGCATGTGCGTCACCTCAATATAGCACAATGATGTGAAATCCGGGGTTTCATACCCTCATGACAACATTTACCTCATTACTCACCTCTATCCGGCCCAAACTCTAGCCCGTGATGCCTTTACCTCTTAAATCGGCCTCCGGATGCTCCAAATCTAACTAAAATTAGTGCAAAACCATCAAAATATTCTAAGGGAATAAAGCCCACTAGAAAGAAATCAAATTACAACACAAATCCCGAAATTAGCCAAACTCAACCCCGGGGCCCACATCTCGGATTCCGATAAAAATTACATCAATAGACTCCTTATCACTCCCCGAGTTCATTCATATCAAAATCACCGAAATCCAACCAAAATGATCCCTCAAATCCCTAATTTTAGGTCTCCAATTACAAGCCCTAGGTCTTAAATATTTAGGCTTAAATTCAACAATTTCTATTATTATTAGGTATAAATCACATTAGGATTGATTATAAAGTCCATAAATCTTACCTCCAAGTGTTCCCCCTTCATTCCCTCTTCAATCCCCTTCAAAACTCTTCAAAATCGCCCAAAAATGGAGGAACTTAGGCTCAAAATCGCGGAATAGGCCTTTTTAAGCCTTTTGCCCAGTCATTTCAAATCCTTCTTCGCGAACGGGGACAACCCCTCACGTTCGTGAAGCACAAATTTAGGTTGACCACAATTTCCTCTTACGCGAACGCGATCACCCCTCGCAAAGTCCGGGTTTCTACATTCATGGGGGTAATAACTCATTTCTTTTTAGGAATTGGATATTTGGAGAGTCGCCACCTAACGGATTATGGTGCGTTAGGGCACCTAGAGTGATTAACTCTTGGGTTGGTCTACATTATCAGAGATTAGGGTAAGTGCTCGAAGTAACCTCGAGGGGAAGGTGTTAGGCACCCATCTTAGTCCACAACTGTGGGTCCTGGCCAAACTTATATTCTCAAATTAGTCCATTACAAGTAAACAATTGAATCAAATAGGTCGCGAGTAAAGCACGTTAGATAACTCAAGTAGTAAGATTTGGGCAAATTGTAAAACAAAGGTTTAAATATAGGGAAATTTTGGTAAAGGAAGGGTCCTAGGTTGGTTATCCTATAGGATTACCTCACACAATGCCCGGTAAACACTCCTCAATGAAGGGCTACATGTGACATTAGCGCGTAGTCATCATATCCCATATCTACCCTTCCCATCCCCTTAGTGGTCGTGCAAAGCGAGTATTTGGTCAACGATTTCTATTACGTGCTGCTACCCGTCACTTCTTAATGATCCTGGAGGGAGTCAGGACCTCTACCTATAGGTGGTTCTAGATGGACCCCTAAGGTTTTAAAGGTGAAAATTCTAAGGGGACAATCAAAAAATATAATACTTTCAGCACATAAAAGGAGCAATTAGAGTTTGCTCAAAGTTTCCTCCTTAAACAAGCACATAAACAACACGACTCAAGCACAATTAAGGGCTTTTTTTAGACAGTGTCCTAAGGAAATATATCTAGGTGAATATGCAGAAACAAGCAACTTATTTTTTTAGAAACTCAGGAGTAGTGAACCTAGCAGTTGCCTATTGATTTTTAAAACCTGTTAGGATCAGAAAACACTAAGCAATAAAAACAGTTTTCAGAAATGCAGTTTTGAAAATGCCCTAAAGGATTGCCTATACGCAAAGTACTAATGTCTATATTAATACAGAAACAAAGTAGGTTTTGAAACGGATTTCTGTAATACTTATAGGCATGATATCTAATGAAATTGAGGCAGTTTTAATGAACTCATTTCAGGAAATATAAACCACTTAGTTAAACTAGTTTAAGATTGAACTGGGCATGGACTAAGTTGATTTATTTAGACTAGTTTAGACTGACAGGCATAATTACGAGTGTTGTTCCCTATAAGCATGATATCTACGTTTGATACTGGTTTTAAAGACTTGCAGGCATGTAAACATACTTGTTATAACAGAATCTGGATTAAGTCCTATAGGCATGGCATCTATTAGTTAATCTGATTTTTAAGACATGATTATTTGGAACCTATAGGCATGGTTTCTAAACATGACAAAATGTAAAACCTTATAAACATGACTTCTACTTGGTAAGGCAATCGAATTTAAGCATAAAGTCCTAGGAGCATGATTTATATTGGAAAACAATCAGATTTAAACATAAAGTCATAGGAGCATGATTTCTACTTAGTAGAGCAAACATATTTAAAAGTAAAGTCCTATGACCATGATTTCTACCCGAATTTCCCCGTAAAGCATGTATTTCCCCACCCTTTTCACTAAATACCGCAATATTTATTTACAAGTTATTACAGACCAATGAATGAATTACATAAGTGAATAAAAAATCAAGAAAGTATTCTATAGGGAGCCTCTGATTAGGCCTAGATTTTCCAAAGCCTCCAATGGCCTCATATGCCTTAATTCTATAGACAATGCCAGAGTCTAGGTGCATCAAAGTTCCCTAAGGATCTCAAAGATCCCGGGCAGTGCTTACACCTAGACTTAATAACCAAGAATTGAACAAGTGCAGTGTGGAAAGGCCAGCCTAAGTATGCCAGAGTTCAAAGGGTTCTCAAAAGGATCCCAAGGCAGTACACATACTGGAGGGGGCATAACTTATTGACTAAGAGTAGAGTGAGAAGTGATGGACACAAGTTGAAAGGTTTTAGCAGAAAACTCTATTAAAACAAAAGTCTATTTGGAAGTAATTTAGTAAAGCAATAGAGACTTTTTTTAAAAAAAAAGGATTGAAGAGATGAACAGAAGTCCAAACACCTTAGGACAGGTTTATACATAGACAATTCAAAGAACCAAGTAAACTCAGTAGTCACATACATGGGTCAAGGGGTTTGGTACATAGAACACTTGACTGCAAACACATAACCCACCAAAGGTCTAGGACTGGTTTAGACACGCTCAGAAATAGCTGACCCTGGAATAGTCAGAAAACCAGACATGAAGAAACAACCACATAGAGGGGTGATAGAGATTTGGAGATTCATGGTGGTAAACACATAACAAGTAAGAAATGATTGGTGTAGACATGCTCAGAAACAAACAGAGGAGTAACATGCTGATCTAAAGAAAGGGGAGTACATAATAAGGTAAACATCAATTACAGGCTTCATAACAAAACCACAAATAGAAGTAAACTAGGAACATGATGAATTGAAGCAATAATAAAATCATATTGTTGTTGGAACTCTGAATTGAAACTAGAACATACCAGTAAAGAGGAC